TTGCTTTAGACCATTTCCAATGCTTTGTTCACTTCCATTTCTCCACTGCACAGACTGTAGCTCAGTGTTCCCAAAAAATTATCAGTAAATTTTGCTATGAAGTCAGAGATTGATTCAGTTTATTTTTTCTTTACCATTGACCATTCAATATCCTTTTTCTGTCTGGGAAGTAGCCCATTTACATCTACTGGCGAGTTCAGAGAATCATCTGGATTCTACTCTTACCACAGAACCATAATCCCGTACATTCAGTCACACTGCATGAGTGTCCCTGCTTGCCAGTCTTGGTCACATGAAATAATAGAACAATGGTTCTTGTGGCTAACCAATCTTATCAAGCTAGTCTTTGAATACACTGATTTCAAAAGACCTTGGGAGGTTATTGACTCCTCCAGCCTACACTGGAAGCAATCCATTCCCCACAGCAGCTGTGTCCACTCTGCTGAGCTAAAATACACGTGCTTATTTATTTTGTTATTCCAGCTTACAGCACAGCTTCACATCAGCAGGTAATAACCTTGGCCACTTAATTGTTCAGCACACAGGAACATTCCTACCATTCCATTAGGAAGAGAATTCTAGCAGATAACACAGTGACAGTCAGTACAACTGCAGCATCAGAGGCCACTACCAAGAATGTAAGTAGGATACAGTGTTTAATTTTAGAGAATTTAATAAAGTGAATTCCAAGTTAGATGCGGTGTCAACAATGTCTTGTGACCTCCACTGGCAGCTATTTTTACTTGAGTTAGGATGATGACTTGACTGCAGTATTATATGAGATGGTCTTAATACAGCATTTATTTTTAAACAACCTTAAAAGTGCTTGAGTTTGCCTTAAAATAAAAATAGGAAAATAATCAAAACAAGTCCTGATTATTCAGGACCCAAGATACATATTCCTGAAATACTGTTCCCAATTAAAAAAATAAATAAAAATCAAGCTTCCACCATAGAAAAAGGTACTATTAAGTCGCTCCATTTTGAAATGTTTTATTGCCACATTAGTCTCAAGGCGTATTAGTCTCACTTTCACACAAATAATGTGCAATTACTTAAGGAGAGCCCCGAAGAGCATTAATGAGCTTCAAAGCTTACACTACAAGATAGAGTAAGATCATTCTACAACCTGCCCCTTTCACCTGTCCATAATTTGACAGATGTGTGTGTTCTCCAGTATTCACAAAGAATTAAAATACACATTCTTCTTAAAAGTCTTCAGTCATACCTCTTAGGGTCTAAGCATCATACCAGTCACTACAAAGATGGCAGGTAACAGAGTATTCTGCTTTGGGAAGATGCAATTTTATTACTCCATTTCTTGTCAGAAATACAATTTACTAAAATAAAAGAAGCATGCCTGTATGCACACTATGCTTAATGACAACAACAAAATTACAATTACTTTCCTAACTCATTGTAAGCACCTAAGAAACCTAACCAGCTAGGCTGGATTAAATTCCATCAGAAGTCTGAGCCAGTCAGACCCAAATCTTATATAGCTCTGGATACATCAAAGGTAAAAACTGCAGAACAAAAATATTTATTTTAACATTTTAGTGTCAGTGTCTTTAAAAAAAGACTTATGACAGAAAAATCATTAAACTCGAGTAGCAGTTTTTAAAAGTTGCTTCTGAAGCAAAAAAAAAAAAAAAAAGAAAAAAAAAGAAAAAATTTAAACATTAAGTGGAGGGATGAATGTAATGCCAGGAAAGAAAGAAATTAATTACTGAGACTTGCCAGGATATAGGTACATCCAAAATTGAAGGTATTTATGCATGAATAAAAAGATAAAATAAACCTTTTGGCATCCTGTCTCACCAATGCAACCATGACTGGATGAAAAATATCCCTATACACATTTTTCATACCATACCACTTTGACATTATGTTTGGAAAAACAGTTGGGGAAAAAAGTGAGCATCAGGGTGCTTCAAAAATTATTATCTTCTGCTGTCCCCTAGTGGCACTGTAACTTGTTTCACAAAATTCATCAAAGAACACTTTCAACTGTAGGCTTCATATTTTACAGAATAGAAGGCATCAATAGAAATTAAAAGCCAGAAGAAATTAGTTTTGCAGGCAATTGCTACAAGCAGTTTTATTTAGAGTTTTTGAAACTAAATCCCTCAGGAAACACTGTAATCTTGTGTTTTAAACCACTGACTTTTTTAAGAAATTGTATGGCAAAAATTACACCAAAGGTATTTATTGGATTGACCATGATATTGTCAGTATTTCAGAAATTCTGTCAGTGAACTATTTAAGTCTTTGAAAGTAACTGGAAGAAACAGCTTCCAGTCATTCCAATTGTAGCATACCTTTCAAGTTTATTAAAAAAAAAAAAAACAAACCCACACTCAATATATGTCAATTCTACTATAAAAGTAAAAGCATTACTGGACTACACCCAGATTTTCTTGATCTTATTTTACCATAATTTAAAAACGCAGGAGCTGCAATTTATCTTCTTCAGCGGGGTAAAATGCAAATGAAATGTTTCTTAGGGAACACAGTGGCCTTATCCACCTAAAACTAAACTGTTACCTCTTGTTTTAGATCAAGCTTTGCAAAATTTTAAGACATGTGGTCATGACATGACTGTTAGTCAAAAGTTTTCCAGCCGCTTCCCCAACATAATTTCACTTTCGTATTTACTTTCGTATCACAAAATAATTTGACTTCAAAAGTAAACAGTATTTGGCATCCCAGTCTTAATTACAGTTTAACACAGCATCTTAATTAGATGAGATATTTAATTTAGTTTTCATTCTGTGCAATTATATTTTCATAACCCATGAAAATTTGTAATTATCTCTAACCTCATTAATGAGGACTACTAAATTGCAGTTCAGTTCATTTTCATCAAGTTTCTAGAAGAAACACAAGTTTCTCATGCGAACTGTAGCTATTGAAAACAAGTGAAGCTTCCTACTCAACACTCAGATTTCAACAAGAAGTACATTCTAATTACCCACATCAAAAACTGCATTAGCATATCTACATATTGCACAGTATTTACTTTAAATTATTAGACACCTCCCTTGTTTCATTTATTTCAAATATTTATTTCATGCTTTTTAAGTTTCCTAAACAAACTTCCTTCCAGGACTGTTTTACCTTAAGGATGGAGACAGCCTGTATGTTTCTTCAAAATGAATGCCTAGTATAGGCAGAACCTACTGATCTTTGTATCAGATTAGGAAACAGAAGATACCCATGAAGCTTCTCCTACAGAAGAAATTTGCTTTCACTATCAGTTAACACCCTCCAGCTCACACAACTTGCTCAGATCTACTTCTGATTTCTGTAAGGTCTCTTTCTACTGGAAAATTTACATAGGAGGAAATATAATCTACATCCAGCAAGGCATCCAGCACAGCCCACAGCCGTGAGACAGACACTGCCCCAATTTTCTGTCTAAATCTGTCCCTGGAGCAATCACAGAAGGCTGTACTTAAGAGGCCACTGAAGACAGACCCTTAACGTTGCCAGGCTAAAGTCCTTTCAGTGTGATGTTTGAATAAGAGCATTATGACAAAGGGGAGTTGTTTGTCTTTGCACCTCTTTAGAGCTGTTTCCCCATGCTAAACTTACTCACAATTGCTCTTCTCAGCTCCTAATGAGGACTGGGAAAAGGCCTGAGGATTATAACTCCAGGGAGTGCATTAACTGAGTGACAGGACTCAGAAAAAGCACCTAAATGCTGTATCCTAAACATTGCCAATTACATTGTGCCAAATACATTGTTTTCCTTCCATCATGACAGTGTGCCATAAAGACAAGATTACAAGCTGCCTGTGGAAGCCACACAGGACTAAAATAAAAAGAAAGACAAAAAAAGAAAATATTACAGAATTATAGGCAAGCCTATATGCTTTTCTCTCAATTGGTATGCATAAGATTACATCTAAATTTTGAATTAGCAAAATAGCTACATGTTTTATCTAATTATATACAACATTCACTGGCTTTGTTCACTGACAGGTTTCTTTCAAAGTCATTTAAAAATTTATCATTCCCTTCTACTATAGAAAAATAGAGACCAGAGAGACAGAATGGGGCAGAAATGTTACCAATTACAATGAAAACATGGCTAAAACAACTACATTTTGAAAGAGTGCTGAAAGTGTACTCTCATTGTACAGTGACCAAAATTTACAGCCTTCTGATCCAGAAACACAGATCTCAAATTCTTATGGTGTTGAAATCCTATTCTAAGCAACTGCTCTGTCATTAGGTTTGACAACTGCCTATATTGCAAGCTCTACTACAAACAAATTAAATTAGAGACAAGATATAATGCTAGGTCTTGCATTTCATCCTTCAGATAATTGCATGAGGTTTTTGATCTCCTGAATTATATGCAGTAGCAGCTTCTGTTTCACTTAAAAACCTGCTTCAGAGATGAAGGACCTAGTTTTCAACAGTGTATCTTCCATCATAAAGGCTTAGCCACAAATATTTTAACCAAAGCTATGCTTAAGAGTATAATTCCACAAAAGACTTAGAAAATTAAAAATTTAACCTGTAATTAACATTTTATTCCTTCCTCCCAAAGTAAAATAAGGAAGAAATATTTCCATTCTTTTGAAGAGTCTTCAATGACACAAAGAAATTGGATCCACAGTCTAAAATCTTATTTATCTATAAATGTCAGTGGCAAAACAAGCTTTTCCACCCACAAACACACTCAACTCATCCTTTGAGGTAATCCTGCCATGGGAAAAAGGTTTTCTATTTTCTCACTATTCATCTTCCTTAATCAGATGGAACCATCAGGGATATTTTTGTCTGCTGTAACAAGTCTCTGAAGATCTCTAAGAAACTATGAAGTTAAATCATTACTCTTAACTAATCGTAAGAGTCTTTTAGTGATAACAGCCTTTTTCTTTATAATTTATATATTAATTTTTTTCAAGTGTGTCTTTAGCCAATGATCTATCCCTACAGTGATGTCATTTTAAACATTAAAATATTAATGAAAAGTGAAAACAAACCTGGCTGTTCTTCCCACTCTGTGGATATACGTGTTTGCATCTTCTGGACAATCAAACTGAATGACCCAATTCACTGCTGGAAAATCTGTGTAATGAAAATATACATCAAATAAGTTCACTGGACTTAAAACCCTCCTATTCAAGAGCATTAATTCTTGTAAGAACCAACACTTGGACCCATTTACAGACATTAGGTGCAACTTCTGAAATAAAAATGAAATTAGTTGCATGCATTAGCACACATAAACAATCATTCTCTTCATCAAAGAAAGTTAAATTAATTGTGTGTTCATTTCCTAAATTATGACAGTGCAATGAATTCAACATAATTTCACACTTGACAAGAATAGACATGCTTTCTGTCGCACAGATGATAAAACACCCTATGGTTAACAATTACGTAACAATATCTGACCTACTTTTCACCCTCACTGTCAATATCCTCCATCACTGGGGTCTGAAGTTAGCTGTGGTGAGACTGCATCACTTCAGCTGTCACATAAACACCACAGCCCCCTCAAAGATGGGAGGGGGTGACCAAACCTGACAAAAGTCAATCTTGACTGTGAATGGTATTAATAATAAGCATTTTCTAACTGCTGCACTTCACTCAGCAGCAGCATGCTTTGAAGTGCTACTTCCAAATCAAATCTGCAGCTATATTGTATTCCAGAATTATACCCACACTCTAATCCAAACTAACCATACCCAAATTAGATTGTCACTGGTGAGATTTCAGCAGTATGGAAGGTATGAGAACTAGTTTTCATTCCTGACTTCACTTTTGAGAGCACCTTCTTTCTTTTTGTAACATAGTGACAAAACCTCACATTTTGCACAATAGTTTGCTATCTCAAAGAAAGACTGGACTCCTGAAAAGTCCTGTGTTGTACTTAAATGCCTCCAAGAACTAAAAGAAAAAAAAAATATATTTTTATCCTCATTTATTTTTCTGTCTCCTTATCAATGCAGTCCTACAATGCCACTCGTATAACAGACCTTAAAATTTCAGTTTCCATTTCCACATACCAGTAGGTTAGCAATTTTTCATATCCTTTGGAATAACCCACAGGATACAGACATATCAGAAATACTTAAAACTGCTAGAATCTTGCCTTACAGCATATAGTAAACAAATACATCACTGTTACCATACCACACATGTTTCTCTGGGATAAAAAGAGAAGGTAAGAACAGATGAAGCAGGCCTCTTCAGTAAAGAGACAGCAGAACACTAAGAAGCATCTCTATTTTGAGCTCCTAAGCAAACTACAGCTTCATTTTTCAAAAACTGGGTCGGTCTTCAGAGTATAAAGTCTGATAAAGCCTCAATAGGTTTAGGTGTTGCTTCTGTGGGTACCTACCCAGGCCACGAGCTGCAATATCTGTAGCGAAAAGCACTGCTGCCTTTTTCCGAACAAAACAAGTGTAGACTTCCATTCTCTTCATCTGCTGCTGCTTGCCATGGAGTGCCAGGACAGGAAGACCAGGCTGAAGCTTACAAAACACTCTGAACAGATACTGAACCTACCCAACAAATCAGGGGGGAAAAGAATTACCATCCACTGTTAAACATGTTAACAACATATACATTGCAGATAACAATTGACATGGCACATCAAATTAAAAATTTCTCCACATCAGAGAAAAAATATGTTGAGACCTTGTTATACAACCAGGTACTAAAAAGACAAAAGCAACTGTGGCAAAAGATGGTGATGCCTTTTGATGGCATCTCCTAAAGGAAACTAGAGTAGGTAACATCAAGAACTTGGGACATGAGTACTTAGGCTGTATGTGAAGGACCAAAGTATGAAGTCCATCAGAAGCACTTCTTTTAGACAGTACTGGAGGCGTTTATACTTGCAATTCAAATCAGTCTACAGTTGAGGTTTACTATTTCAAGTTTCAACAGGCTCTCTTATAAAACAGCTTGTTTACTCTTACCTACAGTACCCATGATGCAGCATTTTTTTACAGCAGACAGCTATCTAGCATCTTTTTAAGACAGTAGTTACATAAACTGTGTATACTGCAGGAACAGCTGCAGCTCTGAGAATTTCTGTACAACTAAGCCAACCACTTCAGTGTACTCAAAAAAATATTGCAACTTCTTCCACAAGTGAAAGAATTGCAATGAATATTTAGTAGGTCATTGTAAAATGGTCTATTATTGTAGAATACTAGCAAGCAATACCTGCACTGTAAAATACTTGATATGTGCAGTAGTTATAGGTACAAATACCTGTGTCAAACACATGCAAATAGCTTCAATAGAATGGTCCCAAGACACTGATACAAGCAGGTATTTGAAGGATTACTTGTTATGTAAGAAAAACCTTGGCCTGTACTATTTCACAATCATACCTCCTCAAACATGTCAATTTAAAAGCTTGTAAGGAAAGCAAGTACAATTACTGAAATACTCTGTAAGCTAACTATGAAGCATATCAAAAGGGCCTTACTGACACCAACTTCTAGCATTCATTTTTAACAGCATTTTAACAAAAATGGCTGAGAACCCTCAGGTCTCCAGAACGTTCTTGCACTGAGCCTGGGTCACTGAACTGCCTCAAAGCCAGGCCCTGAATGACATGCAGCAGTAGGTAATTCAGGTAAAACAGCATTGTTTTGTCCACAATCTCACCTCTCTGATGCATTGACATCTATATGAATATCTTCATTCTATTAGTTTCAAAATTCTGGAGCAGGAGGAGGGACAAAAACATACCTCTTTACAGCTTGCAAAAAACACAATGCTCTTCTTTTTCAAATGAGTTCTCAGGAAAGAGTATAACATGTTTACTTTTTGCTGAAGCTCACAGACAACATAGTTCTGATCCAAAGTTGCTGGGGTACTAAAGAAGAAATAAAAACAACAAACAAAACCACACCAAAAAGGTACATTTAGATAAATCATAGAAATGTCTCACTTTTCTTTTAAGCCAAGAATGTCTAAGCCAAGAATACATACTCAGAAAAAGAAGAAAAGTAATCAGGCTGAAAAGCTCCCCCACTTTGAGAAACAAGTCTTAGCAGCTTCATTTGAAAGCTACATCAATTCCCTTATTAAAAGCCAGTGGGAAGGGACAGATGACTTTTGACGTTACTTCTAAATATATTTACTTGCAGCGAAGCAAACGCTTTCCATGTCTAAGCAGCGACATTCAAATTGCCTTGACTTAAAATGCAATTTTGTCTATTAGTCCTATTAAAGCATCAGTTGTGCTTAAGGCAATGTCAAAGCAGAGCCTAATCACGCACAAAAAGAGAGCACTGATGTACTTCTACTGATTATACTGAGATGCAAAGTGACTTTCTAAAGCTCTGAATTGTCATCTGAACTCACATTTCTGTTCTTAAAAGCAGAAATGAAACAACAAAAAAAATTCCTTGGGATATTTTCCCTTGAAACACATCTAAATGCTCATCTCTTACAGCCCCTCTACTTCACCCTAAGTAGACCGTGGGTATTCAAAATTACCTTTCTAAAGGTGGTCACTTGGGAGGATGAAATTACAGGAGACTCCTCCAGTTTTTATTCTGTTACTTAATTTGAATTACGCCACAGCACTTTTTGCTTTCTAAGTCTTTCAGAAGAAATTGCTTTTATAAGGCAACAACCTAAGGCAGTAAATTCTGAAACAAATTAATATTTCCCTTTTTTTAATTTGGTTTGTTATCTAATTGCATTCTCCCATATATTTTAAAAAATTAAATGCATTTTAAAGTCAACTTCATCTAACGTGGGAGATCTGTGAAATAGACAGCTGCCAGAATGAAGGCAACATATAAGGCATTCTCTTCTGCTAAGATGGTATTAACAACACTCCTTTCTGACAATCATGTTTAAGATGTCTTTGATAGTACTACTGATTAAAGAAAGGTATTTGCAGTACAGTACAAGATAATCAAATCTAATAGTGAAAACTTCTTCAAGATACAATGTGGTTCTGCCATGAATTTTCCTGATTTCTTGTTTGCCCCCAGGAAAGCCATTTTTATCTCTGTGCTTCACCTTTCTCCTGCACTTTACATATGGAAATATATGCATATTTCACAGAGGAGCAGAAAAAGAATCATCCATGCTCATAAGTAATTTGACACTCAGATGAACGAACCCACAGAAATGCAAAATTTGGATTTTGCATTCTTCATTTAGATTTCAAAAGAAAATTATGTGCCAAAAAGCAATGTTAATTTCATGATACATTAAACTTTTTGAGCATAGTACACCACATATTTCCCCTCCAGCAAGGGCTACCCATCCTACTTCAAACTGTAGGGCAGGACCAATTTATTTTATGCACACAGGGCCAGAGACCTAAACACACACACAAAATGCAACACATCAGGAAGCCACATGAACTAACACCACATGCTTTCATTTGGGCACCTAATACTGAATACACAAGCAAGACTTTCATTCTGCACTTTCCCAAGAGGAAAGCATGTCCTTGGAAAGCCGGATTTCTAAACTGCACACAGACAAACTGTATTTGTGGTGGTTTTGCACAGTAAGCACACACATGCAGGAGGCAAGGAACAACAAAAAAGAAGTTATTCAGAACCAGGTGCTGCTAGTCCCAGGATTCTGGCATTAATCCACTCTGCAGCTTCCTCCTGAGGAAAACAATTTCCACTCTGAGAAGCTGCCTGAGGAGTCAAGACAAGCACAGATTCAGCCTCCCTGTAGTGATTCAGTCAGAATTAGTTCCCTCTTATTTGGAAATTCCTTGCTTTCAGGAAGGCACACAGCAGGATCAGATACTGATCCAGTGACGGATGTACAACTCAATCTCTGATTCAGGCAACTGTCAGAAAAGCAGTTAAATGGGATCACTATCTACTCCCCAGAAAAAAGAAAAAAATCCCTACATACCTGAATTTGGCTTTCTCATGAACCCAAACATATTCTGGATCTTTCAGACTCAACCGTGCAAGATCCTTCACGGATTTTGTTTGTGTTGCAGAAAAAAGTAAGGTCTGGCGTTTCTTAGGCAGATTTTCTATGATTGCATTCATTGTATCAGCAAACCCCATGTCTAGAATTCTGTCAGCTTCATCAAGAACTGGATTGAAAGATAAATTTGAGAAAAAACTGGTTTTAGATTTAGTTATTAAAAAACTCTACATTAAATCCATATAGCACAAAGTTCTATCCATACTTAAAATGCAGAGATTAAATTAACTACTGTACATGACAGGAATCTCTTTAGATATCTCTGTATTTCATAAAATATGTTTTTTAAAATACCTGCAACAGAAATTAGAGCATTTCCCATAATCTGTGCACTACAGCCCACAGTTTCACATGCAGACGCAAAAAGATCAGCATCTCAAGTAAACAGTTTGGCAATTTACAAAGACTCCCTGTCCTATTACTGAAATAAATGCACAGAATGTAAAAATAGTGTTGTAGTATTTGTGACAGAGCAAAACATTCTCCTGTACCTAAGCTGAATTTACCATTGAAATAAAGGGTATAAACAAAGTAGCACAGAAACAAAGCTTTAAAAAAGCCTGTATTTAATGCAATTCTTGTCTAACTGCCATGAATTGTACTAAGTGTAGCAAGCATAATTTCACATTTTATCAGCTTCATTAGCTTCTTAATTGCTTCTAAGTTCCTCAAGCTATGCTAAAGATTATGCAGTTCTTAGTAGCAGGCAAACCTTTTCATTACAGTAAAAATCTTGTTCAGCTTGGAAGGATGAAAACAATGGTAACAATTCAAACAAAAGAACAAAAGGAGCAGAAATCTGTCTTAAAACACAAAGGAAAATGTTTTCTAGAACCGGTAAAAAAATACACACACTGCAGTGTATATCCTATATAGCTAGTTGATTATCATGTCAGGAAAGGCACAAGAGCCATAGCCAGAAAGGTAAGCTCAGCATTAGTAAAGACAAATGTAAAAGATTATACAGGGCACTACACTGGGGTTTGGGTTCCTTACCAAATCCCCCTCTTGCTCTTATCATCCTAAGGAAGGCATGCTCAAGCAACTGCTTCAGAGAAAGTACACAAAAGAAGGGGTTTTGCTGTTTTTTAATTTAATTTGAACATGTGCAAGTTTAAATGCCATTTCATCTACATACCATGACAAGAATAAACATTTATGCAAGGAAGTGCTGAACACAATTATGACCTGCTACAATATGTTCCCAAGTACTTTCAAGTACTTAAAAAAAACTTACTCAACATTTGTAGATCAGATGCATAGAAATAGGAAGTTTCATCCATGTGTTGTAAAAGCCGTCCTGGAGTGCAAATTAGCATATTTATGTGATGGATTCTTTCAGACTCTTCTTTCAGATCCTGAAATGGAGTTAATCCAGCTTAGCTCTAGCTCTTCAGACTAGAAGTCCAATACCACAGACAGTCAGGCCAGTTTACCATTAACAGCTTTTAGAAATAATAGTCAAGGAACAGCCTTTACTCTTCCCACAGATATGTCACCTTTTCTTCAGCATGCTCACACCTATGGCTTGAGGAAAAAGTATTTCAGACTAATCTAAATTAACAGGGTCATCCTGGAAGACTTGACAGGAAGGTCCATTCCATGGACACTGAAAAAATTTTAAATATGCTTCAAAAAGTTTCACAAGACACAGAATACACACAAGAAAATTAGTGGGTCACTGATAGGTTCCCATTAACTACACTCCTCCTTGAATTTCCGAGCCCAGGAAAACACTCAGCTATGCTTCCCCAGAGCAAACTGCAAGAGAGGACACACACCTTTCCTCCAATGATAAGGCCAGCTGAGAATTCATGATTCTTCCCCACTTTACGCAGAACCTTGAAGGTTTGATACGCAAGCTCCCGGGTAGGCGATATTATCAAAACCCCCAGGCCATCAGCTGAAGTCCACTGTTGGCGGTACAGGAGTTCCAAAGCCTGAAGGAAATGACCATGTTATCACCACAAAAATCTCAGAAGGAAAATTGGTAACAAAAAGTGTCATTAAAAAAAAAAAAAAGACAAAGCCACATTAATTAAAATAATGACATGAAGAAACATCAGTGCACATTTTACATAGTTTGATGATATATGAATTCTAACTAATGGTAATGATACTTGCTGTTAGCAAAATTCTCCAGAACCAACCTATGACAGACAGTATTGGGTGGAAAATCATAAACACTTCACTGCACTATTAATCCTACTCTGCCAAATTCTGGAAATTAGGCCATTTATATGATAATAGGAATCAATGCAGAAAAATATGAGAAATTTCCCTGCTCAAAAGGTTTTGTGGGAACCAGGAACGGAACAAGCACCTGGAAGAACGTTAATTATTGAAGCTTTAATTCTGGCTTATAGACTTGATGCAGTATTATTCACACATTACATACAGAGTATTCCAACTAAAGCTGCCATACAGCTCACACCAGGATTATTCCTCCTCTTATGAATTCATATTGCAGAAACATTGTATTAGTCAGCAAATCCTAACACAAGGGCTTTACAGGTATGAATATCTGAAGCCTTTTGAAATACTGACAGCTAGTAAGCATACTTGCACAATTAATTTTTTTCCATTTTTCAGCTCTTCAGCATCTTTCATGGACCTCTTCTCTAAAACTGTTTTTAAAATAAGGTTTGTAAAACAAAGGACTTCTACTCTTAAATACAGTAATCTCACTTGTTTCTTAAATTCACAAGACTTTTGAAGCCACCTACATTTTTTTAATTTTCTACTAGTAAGATTTTTTTTTAAAGTAGCATAAAGCATAAACCTTCTTTACTAGAGAGGGTATTCAAAGAACCCACTACTGTGCTCACAGTTACTGACATAATAGACTCCAAAGAAATTTATGCTTACAAAAATGCAAGTAATGTTTAACACAGAGTAACTTCATAAAAAGAATATTTATCCCCTTTGGGGTTTGCATCCACTTATTTGTGCACTTTAAGCACATGTCTCAATTATACTTTCAAACTGAAGAACTGAAATGCAGATCACGATGTTCTGAGTAAAACTGTCAGACATGTACATCCATAAACAGGGGTTTTCATCCCACTTTTCTGCTTGCACCTAGAAGTGTTTTCTAAGGAGCTCACAGGAAGTCCACAATCACTAAGGTTAACTTTGTTATATAAGGTATATAATATGTATATAATTGTAACATTTTAAAGGTGTGAAGACCAGTCATCTAAGAAAATCTAAGGAACTGAAACTCCACCATCTAGTTTTAAAATGCTAGAAAAAATGGACAATTAGAGTTGCACCAGGAAAACATTCATGACAGAAAAACAAAGCACTTCCTAAATCACGCAGGGTCCACTAATGTAAGGATCAAGATGAAACTTTTAAGTTGCAGAATATTCCTAGCACAAAAACTACACATCTTTCAGAAGCTCAAGCATCTTCATTCAATTCCTAAGTACCTTGGCTATCCTGAAACCCTCAGATCAGTTGAATTTTTACTGTTCTCTCAGGATCTACTAATGTAAGCTGACTGACATCAGTATTTCACAGATAACTTGGCTTGAGTAGAAAGTTGTATATTACTTACTGGAACAATAAAAGCCAACGTTTTGCCCGATCCAGTCTTTGCAGCTCCAAGTACATCTTTACCTTGTAAAGCCAAACCTATGGTTTGCCTCTGTATCTCTGTTACCACACGATACTGAGCTTCCTGCAGTCCTAATATTTGCAGGGTGGGAAGAGAAGAGAAAGTGTGGAAGGGGAAGAACAAAGAAAAATAAGAAAGAGGAAAAAAATTATTCAACTTTGTCTGGCCCATGACTGCATTGCTCTGTTTAGAAAATGCTGTACATGGCAGTACTAATCTAAAACTTAAGTTTAAAGGAAAAAAAAAGTTCAGATGCAGATAAACAATGTATTCCCTTTTACTCATATTATTTTCCAAAGGGAAGTTCTATACTCACCTTTAAGTGTTTTCTTTGACAACGGAAAATCTGAAAATCTTTGGATTTCACTTGCATTTATCTGAAACAAAAAAATTTTAATCAATGCTTACAATCCAACCGTAAGAGAGGAATGGAACAGCATTCTACAAGTTGGTGTTAACATAAACATGGAGCAGTTCAGTATGATTCAAATTAGCTAGTCTGGCAACCTGTACTAGTTTGACCTAATCTAAACCCCTGGTTTACCACAAACTGTTGAGCAAGTAATGATATACTTGAACAATGCAGGCAAATAGCACAATTTAAAGCTCAGACCATCATGAAAACATAGAGAAATTCAAACTGAAGAGGACCTCAGAAGGCCCCTGGTCTCCACCTTGCTAGAGCCCAGATGTCTCCTTCAGGTCTGTGTTTTCAGATCCCAGCAGGGATCTACTGGGAATATACACTCATCCTTGCTGCAGGGTGTATTTGGGCACCCAGAGCTGCAGCAATATCACATCTGTCTGACTGGGAAAAGAAGAGTTCACCTATGTCCTGAAGCTTACCAGATTCACCAACCTATAGCACTCAGTATATTTAATTTTTTAGAGTTGTCCTACAGGGTTAAAAAAAAAATACTAAAAAAGTAGTCCGTTGTCCTGACACCTACTAACTTAGCCTTCTGTATGCACCCAGATTTGAGAGTTGTTAATTACACACACACAGAGTCCCCAGCAAAATGTGTTTGAGTCCACAAGTTTGCTCAATGATTTACACAGATGAGGTGTCAAGTAGAGCTCTTGGGAAAAAATGAATTATTTTCAAGGCTGTTCTAGCAGATGTGAAGAGCTTTCACTGGCAAAGTTCACAACTAACAGTAGCAAGACAAAAAACCCAAGAAAAAAGAGACTACTGTATTTATAAAGCCTGAAAAAGAAGGTAGACTATACAGCTTTGAATGCATGCTGACTAAAATCCATAAACTGAGATTTCTAAATGTCAAACTTGGACCTTTCAACTCATGCCTTTCTAACAGACATTGTTTATCTCCCACAAACTGCTGAACAAAAATCTCCCAAATCAAGGACCAAGCAAAACAGTCTTCAGACCTTCCTGATATCTTGTGTTAACAATTCCAGAGAAGGCTTCAGATAAAGAGCTACTGAGCTGTCAGATCAGCCTTGTATCTCCTTAAGTACCAAGCCTTTTACAGGCTCTGCCTCTTACAGAAAACTGAGAGGTTATAGCTGATTAAAGTACCTAAATGGCAACAGCACTCTCATCAAGACAAGTAACTTAATACATTAATTTAATCTCTATAAATAAAAGGTAAAAACAGGTAAAAGGCAATAATGCTCTTATTAAAACCTGGTTTTGATACATTTCAAGGCAAAGCTCTTGCAAGGCAGATTTCAAGCTTTCACTGTGTCCTAACAGAGCAATAAAACTTTTGCCAAACATTATTTTGGAGGAGGGAAAGAATCCTACAAGTATCACCATAAATAAAGGTCTTTTTTTGACTTTCATAAATTGGAATTCTTGACAAGTACTTCCAAATTCAGTTGGTAATTCCCAGTTTTACTATTTTGCATGCTAAATATTTACAACTCATTGATGCATACAGTTTCTGGTTAATTTCAGCCAAGAGACTATCTGAAGAGAAAAACAATAGGCCTACAGGAGGGAAAAGTATTTTACTAACATCAAAAAAAATTCATGCAATCGATTATGTGCAACCAAAGGGAGATTTTAACAGATCAGTGATACATCAAATGAGCTATTGAAGCAATCTGAAATTGTTCTAAATAATTAAAGTATTTCAGTAGTCAACTTCTTTTTAACTCGAGATGACTGAGTAAGAACAGATGCATTAATCAAAAAAGAAGACAAATATTGTTCCACTCTTCTACCTCAAACTTCTCTAAATCAATTTAAAAATTATTACATGCATAAGCCTAGCTCATTCAAGGAACGAACAAGGAAAAAAATAGAGAACATTACTAAAAGAGCATGGAATGTTGGGAAAAAATGTCACAAAGCTTCCTATATTACTTCTCCGCCCTACAGACTTCCAGGAGCTGAATAATGTTATGCTGTAGTACCCTTAAAGTCTGAAGGTATGGGTATGTTTTTTAAGTCATGTCCAAATTGAAGGCATAGGAAGGACTGATGTCTGAGGTAGATCTCCTGATAGTCCTATTCCACATCTACATGCACCAGTGGAAAACACCACCAACCAAACTTGGTTTGTTTCCCTGTCCAAAGTTACTACCTCTGCTCATCTGCTGGGAACCTGTAACTGTGATCACTCTAATCACCTCCATGTGAGAGCAGCCAGCTCATTTCAAATACTTCAAATGCTATTCTGATCTAACTCAACTAATTTGACACTGAGCAGACTAGAAAGGATTTTTCACAAACAGCTCCCCAGCACATCAGTTAGGCTGTTAATGCTTTTCATCAGCACAACTGCTGGGAAAAGACCATGTCCATCAGTGGCCTGACAGTCAGGCAACAAAGTCACTGAATGAACAGAAAACAGCTCAGCTACAAACATATAACACACCAAATGGTTCCATGAAATGGACACAGTGAAACTAAATTTCTCATTTTCCATCTATGCTGCCACACACTTGCCATCACATGTCAACAAATGGAAAAAAATAATCCAGTAGTGAAGTATAGTGGTTGAGTCTTAATTATTAATTTTGTCTTGTTTATCCACCACAGTCATTCTCACACACAAAATTATGGACAGGAGGCCAAGCTGGATCATCATGCATCCATCAGCCACTCTACCACTGTTCCATGCACACTAAAACTAAATCTAACCCACATACAGCCTGTGTGCCAGAGACTCCAGGCACTGCTCTTCAGAGAGGAGCTTACCTCCTTCCCTTTCTACTTCCCTTGTCCCTAAGGGATCTGCATCATGCAGAACTCACTGGAGGCCCCTGAAGATCCAAGCACATGGCACTTCTTCACAATTCCCACTCCCACTTTAACTAGATCCAGGGTAATACAGAAGAAACACTGGAGACCCAGTGGAAAACTTTGTCAGGGACCAGGAAAGAATATCTGAAGGACTGAAGACAAGAAGTTAGGTGGACATTCAACCCACCTGTATGTTCACAGACAAGAGAATCCTGCAGCAAAAGGACAGCAAAACCCCAGCAGAGATGAGACCAAAAGCGCCCAGAATTATACTAATATAAGCATATGTTTACCCTTTCTTAATTCTGATGCAAACATGCCTGAACATAACAAGCCTCTTTTCTTCAACATCTAAAACCACACACAAACACAACCTTCCACTATCCAATCCCCACCTATGCTGCCCCAAGCTGCACAGTAAAACAGAACTATCACCCATGCCCAGAAACAGATGCATGTGCAGACACAGTGAAATGGAAACATCCATAAACATTCACATAGCCAAGGCTAGGAGTAGAGGAACATGCCATTTGCTTTCAAGCAGCAAAGCAAATGATCCAGTAAAGCTGAAGAATACTAACTTGCTGAATCTTAACTAATGGAGCTAACAGGACCTCTTTATGGTAACATGTGTTTTTTCTATACCTCTTGTCATTACTTTCTGCTCAATCAAATTACAACCACCAAAAAATCATTACCACCAGCTGTGCCGAGTGCTGCATAACCAAATACAACTGTCCTGAAAATTCAGCAAAAGTCGGCAGGAGGCAGAGCAGCACCACAGGCAGCACACATCTAACCCGTTATCACAATTACAGTGCTTTCCACTGATCAGTGTGATTCCAAAGCCGACCATCTCCCGCAGGAATTCAAGGGGATCTGAGTGACAAAACCACCACTCACTTCAGGTCTCGCACTCCAATACGTATTTCCTGACTTAAGGCTAAACACATTCATTCATACTGATGGTTCGCTTGTCGTGCGTCTTCTATGGAGACAAACGTGTTCTATTTTCACCTACATTGCCTGGTGAGAAGGGCCAAGTGCCCCTGGTTACAACCTTTCCCACCACCTGCTTCAGCCTCCTCCTCCTCCTCGCTGCCCTCCTGACCACGAACTCCCCCGCCCGAGGGTCCCACTGCCCCCGGCTCCACAGCCCCACACCTCCACCAAAGCGGCTACTGGCCCCTCCTCTTCTGCCCAGGGAAAAAGGACACAGCATCATCTCTACCTCGTGAAAGCCCTCTGCCCGCCACAGAGCAGTGCCACCCAACACACCTCCTGCCTACAGGCACCACCAGCAGCCCTGCCAAACAGGGGGGCTCCCCACTACTGCCCAGGACCCGCACACAGACACCATCCCTCCTCCTCCCAGTTCTATCCACATACACGCCACACGAGGAGAGGAGCCGCTTGCTCCCAGACCGCCGTGCCCGCCCGCCCGCCCCGCACAGCCCCTCGCTCCCCGGCCCGGCCGCACCTCGGGGTAGCGCTGCACCAGGCGGCCGATGTTCTCCCGCTCCACCTGCCACTCGGGCCGCTTCCTCTCCTTGCGCTGCAGCCGCAACCTCTTCGTCCGCCGGGTGTATTTCTTCTTCCACCGCTCGAAGCTGCGCACGGGGTCCATGGTGGCCTCCGTGGCCGCGCCGCCGCCGGGCCGGCCCATGCTATCGGGCCCCGCGAGGCTGGCGCACGGCCGGGGCGGGGCGGGCGCAGGCGGAGCGCGTCACTCGGGCCGCGCCGCCGCCAGGCCCCGCCCGGCCCGGCCCGCGCTCCGCCGGCGCGGGAAGGTGCTGCGGTGTCGGAGGGAAGTTGGGATGTGTGGAGTACAGCCCAGGAAAATGAGTTCGTGCCGCAGCAAGGAAAATACGCTGTGATAGATTATAAAACGGAAAGGGAAAAAAAATACTAAGCCTTAATAGAAAAGGGGTATGTGGTTAGTGAGGGCATAAATTTTGTCCTCAGCAATGGGGTGGTGTGGGGGAATCACAGAATGGATTCGGTTGGAAAGGGCCTTAAAGATTACCCAGTTCCAGCCCCTCTGCCGTGGGCAGGGGCACTGCTTGCTACACCAGGTTGTTCAAAGCCCCATCCAGCCTGGCCTTGGACACTCCAGGGATGCCGCATCCACAGCTGCTCTGGGCAACATGTTCTCGTGCCTCACCACACTTACAGTGAAGAACTTCTTCCTAATATCTAATCTAAAACTGCCCTCTTTTAGTTTAAATCCATTCCACCTTGTTTTTTGTTCTTTCCCCTTTTGTTCTTGTTTTTGTTCTTGCCCTGTGTAGAGCACTGTCTGCTCTTGTGGAAAGTCCCTCTCCAGCCTACTTGTAGGCCCCCTACCAGGTAATGCAAGGCTGCAATTAGGCCACCCCAAAGCCTTCTCTTTTCCAGACTGAACAATCCCAGTTCTCTTAGCCTTTCTTCACAGGAGAGGTTCTCACTCCCTCTAAACACCATGGTGTCCCTCCTCTGGACTGGCTCCAGCAGGTCCATATCCTCCCTGTGCTGGGACCCCAGAGCTGCTGCAGCCCTGCAGGTGGGGTCTGAGCAGAGCAGAGCAGAGGGGCAGAATCACCCACCAGCACCACCAAGTCCTTCTTAGCACAGCTGCTCTCCATTTGTTTGCCTGTGTTCATACCAGGAGCTGCCCAGACCCATGTGGAGCACCTTGCACTTGGTGCACTTAATTCTCATGAAAGTCCCACAGGCCCAGTTCTCAAGCTTGTCCAGGTGCCTGTGGATGGCATCCCATCCCTGAAGTGTGTCAGCCACACCGCTCAGCTTGGTGTCATAAGCCCCTTTTAGATACTGGACTGCTGTTACAAGGTCTCCCTGGAGCCTTCCCCAGTCCAAACAGCTCTCTCAGGCTGTCTACATAGAAGAGGTGCTCTACCACTCTTTCTTATCTTTCATGGCCTCCCCTGGACTCATTCCAACAGGTCCATGTCTTTCTTGAACTGAGGGCCCCAGGGCTGGCGTGAGTACTCTGGATCTGGAATCAGGAGGAAGAGTTCTGTGGCAAGGCTGTAAATGCTTTATTTGCTCATTCATTACAGGGGGAAACTGACAAATTTGGAAAAATCAAAACTCAGTTGAAAGACATAAAGTGGGGCTCGTGCTGGGTCTAAGCTCTGACATGTCCTTTGACCTTTCATAATACAGCTGTAGTCAGTCTTAATGGCCTTGGCTCAGAGCCTTGAACTATGCAAAGGGTTGCCAGAAAGTCACAGGGAACACTGCAAACACACAGAGTTGTTTTAGTGTAAGGTTGGTGTCTATAAGAGGCAGATATCTCTCAACAAACTAGATTTACCCAACCTGCAGATTTATATTACACTATCTTTATGTTCACCAATTTTTAACCCCTCCCAATGGGAAGGTCTGCATTGCTCTGCAGCTGTTCAGCAGTCAGAAACAATTTGCTGAGTCAGTTTTAGCACTTCATCAGCACACAGAATTAAAAACAGGCTGTGGAATTACTGTGCCACATCAGGAAGAGAAAATTACAAACATATTTATGCAATGGCATAAGACGGAAGTAAACATGTTGATGAGGGGAACAGTGAAAGACTCCCAAAATAATTGCTGTCTCTGATGAGGGTTTGGAATTCCAGAAAGCCAAGGGAAAAGGGAGTGTCTCTTAATTAGCTCCACTTTTGCCATACGTATGTTGAGTGTATCACTGAAAGATGTTTTCCCTTCTCCTTGAGATCAGGGAAACCTATGATCACAGAAATGTTTGGTTTCCCTTTAAAATTCATGAAGTTACTAATTTCAGGAGGGAATGGAAAAATCTCCCTTAAATATGCCCCAGGGAGGTCTCTCCTCCCAGGTACAGCTTTGAATGCAATGTTTTTTTCCTAGGGGTTTATTGCTGTGCAGATGAATAAGTAAGTATACTGAAGGTTTTATTCTTGAAACAAAAATGGTTTTGTCCAAAGCTATGTGATAAAAAGTTGCTTGCAGGAGATGCTGATCCACCCCAGAGGATGAGCTTTGGGGAATGGCTCATGTTTCCCACAGTTACAGCACATTTCTTTGCCATACAAAACAAAGTGCCAGTCTAGCACAGCCTGTCACAGGGCTTAGCTGCCAGTTTAAGCATTTTATGTCTGGCTGTAATAGAAAAACAAACAGGCAAAAACCCTCCTGTGTAGAGTTCCTGCTGTAGCAGCAGTGGAGTAAGTTTACTCTTTTCCTAAGTAAATGTACAGTAAAAGTGATGTGTTTGAACATGCTGTCTTTGCTCACCTGGTCTGTGTTTTGCCTGTAGGGCTCATCTCTTTCAGAACAGAACAGCAGCAGTGGTCTGTGAGTCATGACAGACATAAATCCTCAATGAAAAAAAAAAAAAAAAAAGGAAAAAGAAAATTAATATCTTGCTGTCCTGTTTCTAAAACAACTTTTTATGCTGCTGTCATGAATGCTTTGAAAAGCATTTGAAAAGCATGAAAGCATGCTGATGCTTTTTAATAATTAATTTGCTCATTAGCCAAAAAGTCCATATACCAGGAAAGGAAAACAGAAAGTCAAAAGGGCCTTGTCCTGTGTCCCCCAGTTAAAGGTAAAATACTGGATGGAGCTCCAAGCTGGAGGTGTGGGAGCCTGCAAGGGAACCATTCTTCTAATTTCTCTGTTGTCCTCTCACCCTGAGGGGCTTGCCTGAGAAACAGCCAGGGCTTTGTAAACGTTTCACTTTTGTACAAGAACAAATTCTACCTTGTAAAATTTATAATAAGACATTTAACATTTTAGTTGTCTTGTAATAATACTATCCCTAAAACCGTGGCAAAACCAGAGGTCCTTCTGAGAGAGATTGAGAGAGAGAGATGATAAATTATTCAAATAAATTATTCAAGGCCAGTTGTTTTCTTGTAATTTGAAGAAATAGAGGGAGTATAGCTGTGACAATAAAAGTAACAAGGCCCTATACATGACCACAAAGAAAGCAGCACTTTTTCACTTTAAACAAGACCTACTTCATTCTCCACAGATTTCACTGTCATGCATACTCAGTCTTTCCTACTCGTAAGTATGAACATCTGTGTGTTTCAAAAGAGTTATATATGGTGAGGAGGACAAGGGGCACCAAGTATCAAGGTCAGAGCCCTGAGGGCGCTCATAGACCTTAATGGTCCTGACCAGCCTCACCTCAGTCTCCTCCTACATCCTGGCACAGGTCCACCCTGCAGCTTCAGGCCCTCTCTGAGTTATGTCATGTATCATGTTGGTCCCCAGCTCACCTTGGCCATAGACCTCACTGGCTGGGACCCAGAGCTGCAGAATGACTTCCCGGCTTGACCTCGGTCCTGCTTTGTCACTGTGGACATGCCCAGTCATGAATGACTGTATCTGACCCTGATTATGGCCACCAGACTTCATCCTGATCCTCATCCTCATCTTGTCCCTGACCAGGCAATTGATTTTCCAGCTTGACCTTGGACCTGCCTCAGATGTGTTTGATGAGTGGGACTCCTGGTTGACCACAGCTTCCATCTGTGGGCATGTTCTGCTCCCTCACTCTGGGGCTGTGTTAGCAGGCTGAGATCCTGGCTCTTACAGAGCAGCCAGTCCTTGCTGTGCCCTGACAATCAAGCCCTTGTCACTTTGTCTGGGGTCATCCTGAGTGGTGACAATGGTTCACAATCTGTGGTATCCTTCATATTCTCTCTTGAGAAAACGTCAGGGCCAAGCTGAGTTCTACCACACTGCTGTAGCTCCATGTTTCATTGGGCTTTCTTCTCACCAAGGATTTAGAACTGTTGGCCCAACACCCAAATCTTTCCAATTCCCCATTCTTTCCAATATTCTTTCTTGCATTTCATGGTTGGTTGTGATCTGTTGACTTGCTGCAAGCGCATCACTCCCTGCACTCCTGCTGTACCATTTCTCCTGGTGCCTCATGCAGCCACATAGACTCTCATTCACATACCCCAGATAAACATTTCCTCTGCAAATCTCTACAGGAATTTAAGATAAGTAAATGTTGATTTTATTTGATAATATCTTTTTCAAATTACCACTCTATGTGTTTAAGTTAAACTTTGGCATTCACATTAAATCCTTGATTGTTTTATACTAACCTGCTTACTTTCCATTTTTCCCCAATTTTGATCATGCACCTAAAGTAGTCAGCAGACCAGAGGAAGTGACCCCAGAAGGACCATTTGTTGGTGAAATACCACTAAAGCCCTTCTCAAAAAAACAACCACGTGCTAAGAGAATTTCTTCAATGGTCAATACCCTTATCTTCCAAGGCTTACTTGCTGTGCGTCAGAAGATTTGAGAGAAAGCATGTGAGAATATTCTGACTGTCTCTGAATGAGACGTCCACAGTGAAAGGATGGATCTTCAATGTAATATTTGCACTACTACGATGTAGCTTCAGAACAGATCAGAAAAAGTATGGAAATGGCAGTCAGATTTGTAAGTTCTTTTCAACAGAGGTAATGTTCCTATCAGACTGTCTTGGTTGGAAAGACAAATGTCTGCTAGGGAAGTCAGGAGCCTCCCTTGGAATGAAGAATGGAAACCCCCTCCCTCCAAATTATTATAATTCTGAAATTACTAAGCGGCTCTCAGGCAGAGATCTGGGGATAGGAATAACAGTTCTTTACTAGTATTTATAACAAGACAAACAAACAACAGTAACTACAGCGTTAGCAAGAAAACAGAACCAGGGGCCCCGTGACAGCTT